GACTTTTCAATTCTCTATCCAACGATGCCAAAACAAATTCTGTGGCTCGAATGGTTCTTGAGAAACTTCGAATAAAGGCCATTTAGTTATCTCTGCAATGATGTAAAAACGAGCGTTCTTGCTCATTTTGCTTCCGAGAAACTTGCAAAACGGGACGGAAATCATGAAATTTTGCAATAATCTTGCGCCACCCTTACACAAAACGACGATCATTTTTCTAATTTGATAAACAACAGAAGACTATATTTTTTCTACATAACCCCCCCCTGATTTTACTTTTAATTTAATGTGGAGAAACTTAAATTTATCCCAGCGATGGTGAACTTTGGAAATTCATCGAAAAATCCCTGATCGCTTCTGCGATTCGAAACTTTCAGCGTGCATTAAGTGAAACCTTGGCCATTTAGCACAAGAATCGTTCACGCTTCAACTCATTTAATTTAATAGGAAATCATCCAAAGTCATCGAACAGTCTCTGAGTGTACGCCCTGTATATCCTCGTCTCAAAGATCTTGTAAATTCCATCTAAGACGGATCAATTATTACGTGTCAACTCAATATCGGAATCGAAAGGAATGCACAAGAAAGCCGACGAGAAAATGCGGTTATCGCCAAATATGTCGCCTTCATTCACTGGTCGCACTTAAAGCCGCTTGCATTTTAATTAGACGATACCTATTTAACGATAGACACACGATTAAATGTCAATATTATTCTTATTCTAGCTCCAGACCCTGTCTGGCTAATGTTTGAAAGAAGTGCATTTCACCCTCAACTACTCGACCATGTTTAATTGCTAAAAAAATATTTATTAACGGCTTAGTTGTTATTCTCCGCAGTGCCATCTTCAATGTGTATAGAAAATAAGCCTGTGTAACACTGTGCTGAGTTGCGCTATTGAGTCAACGAGTTATAACTCATCGGTTACTGAGTCGTTTTTTAAAGCTTTACGAGACCCGATACTGAAATTTGCACTTCATAAAAAAGTTAGCATTTTTTCTGATCAACCTTTTACTACTTTGTTCAAACAATAATCTTAATTACTTTCGGTAAAAAACCGATTACAATTATTTGGTTTTTGTGCCAAATTCGACGCTGGAAAGTGAAAAAAATAAAAATAATTTAGTCAGAACCAAAAAACCGCATTTTTTTAACAAGCTCTACAGTCTTGAGAGGAATGGAGGTGACGAGATTTCCAAATAATCTATATATATAAAATTCTCGTGTCACAGTTTTAGTTGCCATACTCCTCCGAAACGACTTGACCAATTTTGAAGAAATTTTGTATGTATATTCAGTAGGTCTGAGAATAGGTTGTTATCTATTTTTTATACCCCTAAGTGATATGATATGGGTGCTGCCATAAACCCCTATCTTTTAATAGCTATATTAGTAATATATTAGTAAAGTGGGCAAACCGCCCACTCGAGATGAAAAAAAAACAATACAACGTTTGCCGGGTCAGCTAGTCTGTTATAAAATTTCGCTTATTCTGTTCGTTTTTTGATGGAAAATTATTTGCTTTTTGTTCAAAATTCGACCTGGAAAAGGATTTGAAAACTGTTAAGAAAGCGACTAAGGATTCGAAATTTATTTCATTTTTTTGTTGTTGTTTGTCAGCAATTTTTCACCCCAGGAACATGTGAAAGGATTTTGTGCAGACTTTTTCAAAGACTAGGAGTGATGAATATTGTGGCTAACAATGTGACTTTGGTTGGTTGCAGGTTCCATCCAGAAGCGATGCAGCGAACCTGAGAAGAAGTCAGCGCCGCCCAGTCGAAATATATGGAGCTAAAAGAACCTGTGATAATGGACGTAAGCGACACATTCCGAACGGGTGACCAGGAGATGACCAAGACCGACTTCTTCGATTTCGTGGTGAATCCCGACTCGAACGACGCCCAATCGATCCAGCAGTTCAGCAAGCAGTTGCGAAACGTGAATGTTTTCCTGGGAAACGGCACGGAAGAGACCAGAGAGACGAACAACAACAACATGATCATAACCGACATCCCGACCACTACCTCAGATACCATCACCAATTTCGAAGCAGCCCTTTGGAACGAGAAGGACACGGTGAAGATCGAAACTGCCATTTTAGAAGACTTGAACAAATACTGTTGGACCAACGACGAAGTGAATGGTGTGGTGCAGATCAAGCAGCAGGGCGGCACCAGCAGCGGCAGCAGCAACAACAACAACAACAACAACACCGATGGGCAGATCTACACGACGCTGACGGTGCTGAACGGGCTGGAGCAGACGCCTACTTGGTACCGCCAGCCGTTGTCCATCAAGGAGGAGGACGTTTCCATGTCCAGTCCGACGGAAATGGAGCACCTGCAAGGCGGGCTGGACATCGACTCGATTCTGAGCATAATGCCCGGCCAGATCAGCGCCTTCAACAGTCCCTACACCGAAAACACCATGAGCCCCAACACTGATGGACTCATCAAGTCCGAAACGTACACCTACGAGGACAGCGGATTTGCCGACAACAAGGAGGAGCTGGCCAATTGCCTCATCATCAACACGCCGCTGCTGGAGGCGCATGACAATTTCAACAACAACAACAACAACGACTGGAAGCTGACGAACAACAACCAGCCGAATGGTTCTCCCGACTCGCTACTACGCAGTGCTTTGCAAGGTAAAGCATTCGTGCGTTACAATGGAGCTGTGAAAAGTAGTAAAGTAGCTGAAAACAACACGGAGCTGCGCCGATGCTTGTCAGCATCGCCCAAGACTGAGACGATCTTCGTGGCGAAAGACGAGCCCGACCACTTGACGACCATTGTAAGTGATATTGATGCGAATGGAAAGGTGGTGTTCAAAGAGCAAATAGGCGCAGCCGAGCCCTCTAGTACGCACAACGTCGACGACCTCCTACTCAGCCAACTGGACCATCCCTACTCGGAGGACTTCGAGAAACTGAAGCGAATAGCCAACGAAGTGGCTGAGTCAGTCAACCAGTACTGCATCGACACCTCCTCTTCGGATAACACCGTCCAGGCCAGCATCAGCTCGGACCAGATCGGGATCCTCTACAACATCACCTCCCCGATCCAGATCACCGCCCCAGTAGTGACCAGCTCCAAGCCGACCAAGAAGTACAAGAGGCTCAATAGCGGCTCCAAAGCCCAGGCGACCCTCCAGAGCGCCACATCGACCAGTAACGGCATCCGCAAGGAACGATCGCTCCATTATTGCAGCATCTGCTCAAAAGGCTTCAAAGACAAGTACTCGGTGAATGTTCACATTCGAACGCATACTGGCGAAAAGCCATTTGCGTGCAGCTTATGCGGGAAAACGTTTAGGCAGAAAGCGCATCTAGCGAAACATTACCAGACCCATATAGCGCAGAAGAATGCAGCTGCGGCTGGCAACGTTTCCTCCACCAAGAGTAAAACGAGGTAGCTTATGAAAGGGAAACTTTAGAAACTAGGAAAGGGTCTAGTTGGTGAATCTAACCCCTTAGTTTTCTGCTTTAGTAGTTCTCAAAGGTGGTTTCACTCCAGACGCAAACATTTCTACTCATAGAAAGCCGGAACTGTTGTGTTCCAACTCCTGAAGATGCGAAAGTCGCATCGTCCAGAGCAGATATAGCCGAGGTTGCCATGTTTTCTCTCATAACCTTTCTATTTCCCTAGTCCCTATATTAAAATCAATTTTCTTCTATGAATTTCTACAGTTTTTGGTGAGACCATGCGATTTTTTTGCGAAAACCACACAATTCCTTGCAAAACTCTGAACTTTTTGTGAAACAATAGGAAGGCTTTCTTTCCTCTGCTTCCATTTGATCTGAAAATAATTATTTTCAATAAAAATTTCTTTGAATGACTCAAACTAGGAACCTTCAGGCTTCACATCCACGCTTTACAAATCCTGAACTGGATTTTTTGCAAAATTCCGCAAAATCGTTATCGGTGGTTGCAAAATGAGTCTTTCGGCAATGCAAAAAGAGTTGCTGGCACGAAACAGCCCTTTCAGAATTCAGCCAGTTTCAAAATGTCCTCAAAATTGAAGAAAAATGGCACAACTCGGCAACTATTTGGACACGTGGGACTGACTTTTCTCAATCAAATGCAGCAGAGCTAAAGTCTTCACCTGCCTTAAATCCCCACCAATAAATTCCGCCATACAATTTTCCTTGATGATGACTCTGAATAGAAACTCTGAATAGAATAGAAACTCTGACTAAAAACCCCACAAATTGCTTCATACTGAACTCGTTCTTTTGAGAAAATTCCCGAAGATTTCTGATAATGGCTCAAAAATCGAAACTCTTTTGCGTTAAACTATTAAAACGTTTGACTATGCAATTCAAATTGCTTATTTGTCGTTTATTACACTTTTTTCAATCTTCCACGTATCTTACAGCCTTTCACACATGTACTGTTCACGCTCTAAGACACCCCTGAAAATGCAGGCCACTCGTGGTAGCGAAACGTCACGAAATATGACTTTTTTTCAGTTCTTTCGGGCTTTTAGTCGTGGAAAATAGTCACCAGTTTCCAACTAAACAACCGTTAGAAACTGGGAACATTTTTCAAAAAAACGCCTTCACTTTCATGGTCCTTCAAAATTACAAAACTTGCGTTTTTTGCTCAAATTTTCGAAAACTCTTGATGATGGTTCAAAAACCGAAACACTCGCTGGTTACGAAGGCTGTCAAGGCCTAGCAAAATTTTGCAATAAAATAAAAAAAAATTGACCCTAAAGAAGGGGATGCAAAAAAGCGGTGAAATGCAAGTTTCGGTGGCGTGAGACCAGTTTTTGCAAAAACCACAAAATTGTCAAAAATTCCTCGCAAAGCTCTAAACTTTTTGTGAAACAATAGGAAGGCTTTCTTTCCTCTGCTTCCATTTGATCTGAAAATAATTATTTTCAATCAAAAATTCTTTGAATGACTCAAACTAGGAACTTTCAGGCTTCACATCCACGCTTTACAAATCCTGAACTGGATTTTTTTGCAAAATTCTACAAAATCATCATCGGTGGTTGCAAAATGAGTCTTTCGGAAACCAATCAAATTGTTTATTTATCGCAATAAATCCATTTTTGAAGACTTGCTGGCACGAAACAGCCCTTTCAGAATTGAGCCAGTTTGAAAATGTCCTCAAAATTGAAGAAAAATGGCACAACTCGGCAACTATTTGGACACGTGGGACTGACTTTTCTCAATCAAATTCAGCAGAGCTAAAGTCTTACAAAAAACCAAACAGTAAAAATTACCAGTTTCAAAAAATTTCCTTGATGATGACTCTGAATAGAAACTTTCAGGTCTGACCTTATTCTCGCTCTACAAATCCTGAACTGGGGCTTAACAAACTTATTATTTATTTAAAACTAAAATACCTGATGGATTTCTCCAAATAGAAACTTTCAGAACGTGCCATCGGCCGTTCAAGCCCCACAAATTGCTTCATACTAAACTCGTTCTTTTGAGGAAATTCCCGAAGATTCCTGATGATGGCTCAAAAATCGAAACTCTTTTGCGTAAAAATGACTGACTATGCAAATCAAATTGCTTATTTGTCGTTTATTACACTTTTTTCAATCTTCCACGTATCTTACAGCCTTTCACACAAGTACTTTTCACGCCCTAAAACACCCCTGAAAATGCAGGCCACTCGTGGTAGCGAAACGTCACAAAATATGACTTTTTTTCAGTTCTTTCGGACTTTTAGTCGTGGAAAATAGTCACCAGTTTCCGACTAAACAACCGTTAGAAATTGGGAACATTTTTCAAAAAAACGCCTTCACTTTCATGGTCCTTCAAAATTACAAAACTTGCGTTTTTTGCTCAATTTTTCGAAAACTCTTGATGATGGTTCAAAAACCGAAACACTCGCTGGTTACGAAGGCTGTCAAGGCCTAGCAAAATTTTGCAATAAAATAAAAAAAAATTGACCCTAAAGAAGGGGATGCAAAAAAGCGGTGAAATGCAAGTTTCGGTGGCGTTCTCTTCAGGCTAAGCCCAGCTCATGAGAACTAGTAGGCTGGAAACTGGTCCCGGGGGTGCCTGAGATCAAAAATAAAATACAGTTCGTTGATTATTAAAGTGTTTGGTTCCGTAGGAGTGAGATTCACCAACTGGGACCCAAAATTGCGAACTAAAGCAATCAACTATCGCGAGATGATTGTGGTGAATTCGTGTTGCACATTCAAATATTCATGTAAAAATGCCGTTTTAAAGAATGCAGTCAGTGTACCTGCTACTGCAGGAGACATCCAAGAGTTTTGTCCTGTGGACAAGGATGTAATAATGCAGGAAATCTGTGAAATTTACTCCTCGATGTTTACGGTGCGATTAGCAAGACCGATGATACGGTGATTACAATTTCAAATTGATTATATGAAGAAGATGAAGATCTGGTTCCTACATGCTGCAAGCTACAAGCTAATTTTGTTATAATGTTATTTGTATAAATAATGTGCTGTGATGTTTAATTGTGAAATTAATTTAAAAAGGAGATGTAAGCTAGTGAAAATCTGCCTAAATTTTTTCTTGCCATTTCTGTATTATTATTTACGTTTTAGTTACGTTTATTATTTATTTTTGTCGTTTTTAGGGAGGCTCGTTTCCCGTACAGGATCTAGTTTAAGCATTACCTTCCTTTCCTAATACAAAGTATTAATTCCACCCTGTACGAGCTATAGTTAATCTACTGTATAAAAGGCAACGTATAAGAGACAACGAAATAAATGACAATAAAGTTTTTATTTTATTTTATATTTTATTGTAAAATAGGTTTGTAGTTAATATTTATACGAGATTCTTTAAGTTTTTGTACATAATGATAATTTTGTTATACAAAGTGAACTTGGGGCTTTGCTCGCTTTCAGAACGACTTTCTCTATTGAATTCACCCTTACATAATGATCTCATCAAATTATCCTAAAATCGTTCATTTTTCTTCGTCTTGAACAATTCACCTCCCAATCTAACGCGCTCTAAATGAATGAAGAAAAACGAATATTCTTGTTCTAAAAGCGACTTCGCCCTGGTCGATATATAAAGTTTACCTTCATTGTAGAGTGAAAACCGAACCTTTTTACCTTGAAATACTCACTATTTCATTAAGGCTGTTGCCACTATATTATGTATAAATAATATAGAACCGTCTGTTTGCGGTTTGCGGGGCTCACGAGCCTTTAAAGCCATTGTTTTGTACTTAACTGTATTTTATGGCCTTGTGTTATTAATTTTTTAAAATGTTTATCATCGACCTTTACTGTGGCGTTTTCCATTTATGTGAAGCCTGTTCCACAAGAAAGGCCATGGTTGAGAAGAACAATTACGCCCGATTAGCCGGGCTGTATTTTTGTTATTTTCTCCCATTTACGGCCTAACGAAAAATCTGTAGTTTATGATTTTGTACCTGAAACAGGTTCATAACTTCGACTTCTTCGGAAAAGTAAGATT